GACAACACCTGCACGTTAGGAAGTGAGCCCGGGAGTGCTGACATCTTGATCTTGCACTTCCCAGTCTCCAGAGCTGTGAGAAATACATTTCTGCTGTTTCAGTCACCCAGTCTGTGGCATTTTGATATAGCAGCTGAGCTGATGTAGATGTATAGTAAGTAACTGTTTCTTGGCTTCTGGCTTTGCACACGAGTCTGCTGATGACAGTGGCCATGACCTTGCTCTCTGTATCCTCATTTATTTCTTTTCTTCAACTTTTAAGTTCTGGGGTACATGTGCTGGATGTGTAGGTTTGTTACATGGTTTGCTGAACAGATCAATCCATCACCCAGGAATGAAGCCCAGCATCCATGAGCTATTCTTCCTGGTGCTCTCCCTCCTCCCATCCTCCCACCAGACAGACCCCAGAGTGTGTTGTTCCCCTTTCAGTGTTCATATGCTCTCATCATTCACCTTTCACGTATAAGTGAGAACATGTGGTGTTTGGTTTTCTGTTCCTGTGTTAGTTTGCTGAGGATAACAACTTCCAGCTCCATCCATGTCCCTGCAAAGGACATGATCTCATTCTTTTTTAGGGCTGCATAGTATTCCACAGCCTTGTTTTCTCTTAACAGTATCTTTACTTTGGGTTTAGTAAAAGGAGCTCTTTTTATGCTAATGTGTCAGGATGATTTGTGTGTCCATCTGGGCCTTCTCTATTTCCCTTAGCATTCCTCTTGCAGAACAGGGTGGAAAGGGCCTTTAATAGATCAGACGGTGAATCTCTGTCATGCTATGAGAGCTGTCACTATCAGCCAGAGTGCTGACCATGGTGCTGACTATGTTCGACGGCGAGACCCAGAAGGATCTGGGCTGCCCCGTCACCTGAAGCCAGACTTCTGGAGAGAAAAAGGCAAAGGACCATGGCAGAAGACAGGAGGAAGGGAGATCACAAAGAGAAGGGCCTCCTGGATGCCCCACCAAGGAGGACTCTGTGGGACAGACTGGTGATGCAATTGGAAAAAGCACTTTGCACTGTGGGTCCAGACCAGTTTTTATGGTCATCTGATAGCAAGACCTCCTTTCTAGGAGTGACTGTACCACAGGCTTCCCCTGACACATAGACATAACTTTGGGGTCATGCTGGAAAACCACAGAGGGACTTCAATGGGGTGGGGTGCGTCTGTCTTCAGATACAGCCTTCAGAACAGAGCCAGCGTCTGGATTTTACCACGTGGAGGAAACTGGCCCGCAGAAAGCCGAAAGTGTGGTGAAGGCAGAGGGACTAAGAGCAGGAAAATAACAGCAGAAATAATGATAAATATGAATAATATAATATGTAACAGTAAAGCAAGCATATAAGGCACTAGCGGATTTCTTTGTTCACGTGGATCCTTCCAGAGTAGAGCTCGTGCACTAGAGGCCTCTCCTGTGGGAGGAAGTGGCTCAACTGAGTCAGCTGGGGATAGGCCAGGCTGATGGGTTTGGGTATCCCAAGGGTGGGGCTGTGTCCCAAGAGTGGTGGGGCCTGCATATATGTCACTGATTCAGATTTATGTGGAACAGCCATGTAAAGTAGCACAGGACCAGCGCTCACTAGGCTTTGAGTTGATGTTAGTTTCCGTTATGGGTTGAATGTCTCCCCAGAAGGATGTGTTGAAGTCCTACCAGCAGACCGAATTTGGAAATAGGATCATTTCTGTGTAACTAGTTAAGATGAGGTCAGACTGCAGTCTAGTGGGTCCTCAACCCAGTGTGACTGCTGTCCTTGTAAGAAGAGGATACCAGATACAGACCCACGAGGGGAGAATAGCACTCGATAAGAGGCAGAGATTGAAGGGCTGCAGCACAAGTGAAAGAATAGGGTTGCTGATGGCCACTGGGAGCTGGGAGAGAGGCAGGGAAGCACCCTCCCCTCTGGTGTCAGCGGGAGCGTGGCTCTGCCAGCACCTTGATTTGGGATTTCTGGCCTCCAGAACTGTGAGACCATACATTTTCATTGCTTTGTTAGAAAAGCCTGAGGAAATGAATGTAGCCACTCCTTCTCTGTTGAGTCTCCCTAGCTCGGCCCCAGCAGGCAGCAGGCCCGGCACCTTGTACAGCTCCTTCTAGTACCCCATGTTTGGTGACATCACATTTCCCTCACGCTGTTCACAACTCTTCTTCTACAACTCGGTGGATGTGCAGGTGCCTCTGTGAGGTGTGTGTAAAGGAAAATATAATTCTGTTTCCAGGCAGTATGGGATGTAACCACTTAAAAAAAAAAAAAACAACTTTTTTTTTTGAGACAGACTCTCACTCTGTTGCCCAGGCTGGAGGGCAGTGGCGTGATCTTGGCTCACTGCAACCTCTGCTTCCCTGGTTCAAGCACTTCTCCTGGCTCAGCCTCCTGAATAGCTGGGATTTCAAGTGTACACCACCGCACCTGGCAAATTTTTGTATTTTTATGAGAGACAAGCTTTCATCATGTTGGCCAGCCTGGTCTCAAACTCCTGACCTCAGGTGATCTTCCTGCCTCGGCCTTGCAAAGTGCTGGGATTGCAAGTGTGAGCCACCATACCTGACCAAAAAATCCTTTGGAAAAATAGAAAACAAGTATTGGTGAGGATCTGGGGAAATTGAAATCCTTCTGCTGGAGAGAATGTAAAATTGCGCACCTACTTTGGAAAACAGTGTGGAGGTGCCTCAGAAAATTAAAAATAGCATTACCATGATCCAGCAATCCCACTTTTGGGTACACATCCAAAAGAATTCAAGGCAAGACCTCAAAGGGATATTTACATATCCATGTTCACTGTAGCACTACTCACAATAGCCCAGAGGTGGAAACAACCCAAGTATTTATCAACCAGTGAATGAATAAATAAAATGTAGTATATACAAGTAATAAAATATTATTCTTCCTTTAATAAGAAGGAAGTTCTGTCATAGGCTAAAATGTAGGTGAACCTTGATGCCGTTATGCTGAATGAAAGAGGCGAGACACGGAAGGACAGATAGGCTGATTCTACTCATCCACAATATCAAAAGTCATCAAAATCGGCCGGGCGCGGTGGCTCACGCCTGTAATCCCAGCACTTTGGGAGGCCGAGGCGGGTGGATCACGAGGTCAAGAGACCGAGACCATCCTGGTCAACATGGTGAAACCCCGACTCTACTAAAAATACAAAAAATTAGCTGGGCATGGTGGCACGTGCCTGTAGTCCCAGCTACTCAGGAGGCTGAGGCAGGAGAATTGCCTGAGCCCAGGAGGCGGAGGTTGCGGTGAGCTGAGATCACACCATTGCACTCCAGCCTGGGTAACAAGAGCAAAACAACGTCTCAAAAAAAAAAAAAAAAAGTCAAAATCATAGAAACAGAAAAAGAAACATGGTTGCCAAGGGCTGAGGGGAGTGGAGGGGAGTTCGTATTTAACGTGCATGGAGTTCCAGTTCTGGTGAAAAGTTTCCAGAGACTGCGAATATACTCATCGCTGCTGGTACATTTGAAAATGTTTAAAGGGCAAATACGATGTTATGTGTTTAAAGCCACAATTTAAAGATTAAAAAAATAAACGCTTGGAGAAGTTTCCTTGTAAAATGAAGAAACCTTTGGTAATGTAACTAATTATTTTTTGGTTTTCCCATAAGTATATCTTTGGATTTTTGTATATTGTATTTTCTTCCAGTAAAGCTTGCTTGTAAGGTGGGGTGGGAGGTGAGTGGGCAGTGATGGTGTCTGTGGATCTGCTGACCCTGGTCTTCCACTCCCTTCCCACCACAAAGGCATAGTAATGTGGAATTGAGGCTGTGTGGCTAATAAAAATCTTGAGATACACAAAGAGGCTACCATTAAAAGTCTTCGGAGGTGAATAATCTGACAGAATTGAGGCCAGAGGAGCGGAGCATTGTGGTGTTGATGCAGTTTCTACATTGGCATGATAAAAATATATAGTTGGCCTTTGTACCTGGTTCCTGGAATAGAGCTCCTAAAATCCTTACGATTTCCTGAGTGATGGGACGATCTTTCTTTATGCATAACAAGGCCCTTTGGAAACCACCAGCGTTTAAGCTAATGAGGTGACTGACTCTTGGAGGGTGGAGTGTGGTTGCCAGAGGAACCCACTGTAGAGATTACAGATCCTCCACCTCTGGGAAAGGGAGAGGGGATGGAGAGTGAGTTCAATGATCAATGATTAAATTAACCGTGTCTATGTAATGAAAACCCTCTAACCAATGGGGCTCAAAGAGCTTCTGGATTGGCGAACACTTTGAGATGCTGGGAGGGTGAATGCCAGAGAGTATGGAAGCTCCCTGTCTCCCCATCCTCAATATCTTGTCCTATGCATCTCTCCTACTTAGCTGTTCCTGAGTTGTAACCTTTATAATAAAACTGTAACAGGCCGGACGTGGTGGCTCACGCCGATAATCCCAGCACTTTGGGAGGCCGAGGCGGGTGGATCACGAGGTCAAGAGATCGAGACCATCCTGGTCAACATGGTGAAACCCCTGATATGTGTAGCTGATCAATCAGAAGTACAGGTGGCTCAGATTTCTGATTGGCATCTGAAGTGAAGTGGGCTTGTGCAACTGAGCCCCTAGCTTACGGGATCTGATGCTAATGTGATTGGGCAAAAGGAGCTTGATGCCTGATGTGCCAGAGGCCAGTACCATGACACTGGGCTTTGGATAAAAGAATAGCTTTATTTTGAAAGTGAACTCCAAGAGATAGACCAGGGTCAGCAGAATCAGAGACGCTATAACTCCCTCTCCCATCTCCCACACCCACATTACAAGAAGCTTTGACTGAAGAAAATCTGCTTTTGGTAAAACCAAGAAGACGATTAATTACATTTCCAAAGATCTTTTTCATCTGAGTCAAGGAGTCTCTCTGTGCTGATATTAAGGCAGCATTTTTATTAGAAAAAGTTCAAGGAGTGGATTCTGAGATTAGTAGGTGATTCGTGCAAGGAAAGGGGAGGTCTGAAAAGTCCCTGGGCATGTGCAGTTACTTCTTCATGTTAACTCCTGAGTGGCGTGTGCAAATTCAGAGGGAGTCAGTACGAAACAAGGGTGGAAATTGGGGCTCATTCCATGCCAACTCCAGTCAGCCATCTTGGTTCTAACCCACTTCAGCCAGGCTTTTGATCTCGCAAGTGGAGGGAGTTTCAGTGTTTCAGAAGCTTCCTTCTTTTCTTATCTGCTGTCCTGCAAACTCAAAAAATTCTGTTACTGGTTTCTTACTCTTTGATGCTTTCCAGACCTCCCATTTCCATCCACCAATCACCTACTAATCTCAGACTCCACCCCCTGAACCTCCTTTTCCTATTAAAATGCGGCCTTAATGCCAGCACAGAGAGACAGATTTGAGCTTGACTCTTGTCTCCTTGTGAGTTGACTTTCAATATGAAAGCTTTTCTTTTTTAAAGAACTTAGTTTTAGTATTGTCTTCTATTGCATTGGCCAGTGAGCCCCTTCCGCTCTGTAACACTAACTCCAGGTAGATGGTGTCAGAATGAAATTGAATGGTAGGACACACAGTTGGTGTCAGAGAATTAAAGAATCGAGAGTGTCAGAAGACACCTCAGACTACACTTTCTCCCTTGGTCTGGGAAGAGTTTAGTTTGAGTGACCCAACTCCAAGAAGATACCACTTCTGGTGAAAGGACAGGACTCTCCACTGAGCCCGGCAGTGAGGACATGAATGCTGCTGGGATGACCCAACAGCGGGTGATGTTTGGGCTATTGTGTGTCATACTGACCCTGACCAGCCAAGTAGTCACAGCCCCCACAAGCTCTACCTGCCTGTCAGATGCCTCATTCCCACCTGTGACGCTCAGAGAGAAACCATGAGCTGTTTTGTGATGTCACCTCTGGAATGTTCTGAGTGTTTTGGTGACCAACTTCTGCATAGGACCTATACTTGGCAACTCACATTGGTATGGCTTTTTACTTGAGATAGAAATAATAATCTTAGACAAGCAGGTACAGCTATCTCTGCTTCAAAGACTTTCAAAAGCCTTTTACATCAACTCTATCTATCCTTTTTATTTTTTATTTTATTTATTTTTTTGAGATGAAGTCTCACTCTGTCACCAGGCTGGAGTGCACTGGCGTGACCTCAGCTCACTGCTACCTCCACCTCCCGGGTTCAAGTGACTGTGCTGCCTCAGCCTCCAGAGTAGCTGGGACAACAGGCACGCACCACCACACCTGGCTAATTTTTTGTATCTTCAAGAGACAGGGTTTTACCATGTTGACCAGGATGGTCTTGATCTCTTGACCTTGTGATCCGCCCACCTCGGCCTCCCAAAGTGCTGGGATTACAGCCTGAGCCACCGAGCCTGGCTATAATATCTACCTAAATATCTGTTCGGAGACTGATAAACCATCATATCAGATACCATCTACACATTCTTCCAGACTCAGATTTTCGTAATTGTACATAATTGACAAGAGGGAAATAAATGAGTAGGAAGTTCTATGTTTTTTAGGTGAGCAATTGAAACCCGGCCCAGAGGATGAGCTGGGAAGCTGCAATCTTCCTTTGTCTTTTCCACAGAACTCAAGGCCAGATTTTACAAGAAAAAGAGATCCCAGATTGGAAAGCCCAGAAATCCCAGTCAATGTGGTTCTACCTCAGGTAGGGGTAATCACAGAAGGATATAACTTACCAGTGTTACCCAGAAGAACCCCCCACCTCCTCCGTCAGAACTCTAGCAAGATGTAGAATAAGCAGAGATAGGGCTTCAGATTCTAGTTTGGGGTGGCTGCCAGCGGGCGGTGTGCTGGCGAAGACCAGATAGCCGCTCCGGGCCTTGGGCTCTTTTCCCCACGAGTGAGGTGGCTGGGTCAGATGGTCTGGTAACCACTTCCAGTCCTAACATTCCGAGTTTCTGTGATACTCTGAAGTAGCCCAGCCTTCTCAAAACGAGATCTCTTGGTGCTTAGTGTTGTGCAATTGCTCTGGATTTCTCAGGGAGAATTAGAACTGGGACTGGAATCAAACGCGTAAGAATGAATCCATGAGAAGAAAACCTAGTCCGTGGACAAAGGGGCACAGAGTTATTTGGAGTCGTCGAGAGAATTAAGCCCTGCTGTGCACCAAAGGCAGATGTAAGGGCCATGGGCCTGGATGCTTTTGAGGTCAGTGAATTGGTGACGTCCTCACAGGCTAGAGAGTCTCGGGTCTCCTCCTGCCTGCAGTCAGCTGTTTCCTGGGGTCCTCTTGATTGAATTGTTTCTACTGCTGCTATGTCACAAAGGGGTGGCTTTGCTTTCTCCAGAGTTACCTAAGGCCGCCTTGGAAGGGCAGGGCCATGCAACCAGAGGGGTTGAAATGTAGGATGGAGGAATCCAGTGCAGAGGTAACTATCTCAGAACTCTGTCCAGGGATGTGTGGGAGGAGGACTGACCATTAGGACATTCCGGATGTATGGTGGTAACAGTCTAGCAAGTACGTTCCGCAGAAGGCACAAGTACGGAAGAAGAAAGCATTCTGGATGTTTGTTTTCAGGTTATCTTTATAACTTTGTCATGAAGAGTGACTTTTCTACTCGTTTTAGCTCATGAATCTTAGTCTGAATATAAGATAACTTCCTCCTGATCATTTGACAGGGTGACAGAAAGCTGATAACAAACTGTAGGAATCCTTTTGGGCCCGATTCCACCTGAAATACACAGGGATCTGTGTTGGCCCCTACTGCCCCGAGAGCTGGTGTTACTGCTGTGATTCTTTTTTTTTTGTTTGAGATGGAGTTTCACTCTCGTTACCCAGGCTGGAGTGTAATGGCGCGATCTCGGCTCACCACAACCTCCACCTCCTGGGTTCAGGCAATTCTCCTGCCTCAGCCTCCTGAGTAGCTGGGATTACAGGCACGTGCCACCATGCCCAGCTAATTTTTGTATTTTTAGTAGAGATGGGGTTTCACCATGTTGACCAGGATGGTCTCGATCTCTTGACCTTGTGATCCACCACCTTGGCCTCCCAAAGTGCTGGGATTCCAGGCGGGAGCCACCACGCCCAGCCCACTGCTGTGATTCTTTCATAGCCCATGTAAATCAATCTTTTCTTCCGGGGGCCTCTCACTTTACACGCTTTGAAATTACGTCAGATGGCTGAATGTTCTCTGATAGTAATCTCAGTAATGTTGGGAAAGGTGGTGTTTAAGAAACTTGGTCAGGCAGAGGGTGCCAACCCAGGGGTGGGTATGAAGGAGGGGAGAGGATTTGAAAGAGTAGTGTCATGTGATAGAGGGGCTGGAATGATGTTTCCACCCACGCCCACCACACTTTCCCTCCCCAGCTTCCAGAAACAGCCCAGTAGTCAAGGAGGAGAGGAGGTGGTTGAAGACAGCTCCAGCCTGTCTTGAGGCTGCCTGCTTCCTGTGCTGGAGGACCTAGTGTTGCTGCTGGGCTCCTGCGGGGAGAGTGGGTGGAGAATGAGAGTAAATCTCCTGCCTGGGAACCTGTACCTCACATGGGCACGTGCAGCCTTGTGTGTACACCTGCCAAGCGGGCACAAGCCACGCACCAGGTTATGGACACCTGTCAGGATGCTCAAGATTGGCACTCTGGGGGAGGGGTGTGGGTGTCTACAGCTAGATCATCTGAACCAAAATACCACCAGGGCTGTGAGAGGGACCAATGTGCTCACTCTGCCTCCCTAAACGAGATGGCGCGTGGCTTAGGAGACAGGGTTGATCTGGGAAGCAAGGAGAGGAAGAAATATTGACTGAATGTTAGTGCGATCATGTGTCGGGCACGGAGCCAAGCTAGTGTGGGGTAAAGATCTTACAGGTACAGAAACCGGCACCCCCAGGAACTCCCCTAGTAATGGCAGACCTGGAGGAAAGGGCCTAAGCTCAAATCAGTGCCATGTGCTCCGTTTACCTCAAGCAGGGCACATGCCACGTGCTGGGCCACGCTGCATCTTAGCTCTGTGGTTCTTCTCTTGCTTTTGGAGATGGCGTCTTCTCCCTGCATCTTTACTGCTCATCTCTGGGCTTCTTATTTTATATTTGCTGAAAGCTGCTCTATTCTGGGGTGGAGTTCGTTTTCCATGTGTTTCAGAAAGGACTCGTGGCAGCAGCTCTGTCTCCCGAAAGCGCCTCTGGCTCCAGCTCCCAGTCCTGCTGGGCATTCGGGCTCCTCAACGCTCCAAAGGCCTGTGATGACTACTTGTCATCAGCCCTTTTCAGGACGTCTGGATTTCCCGTTCCTCACGTTAAATAGTTGTGTTTTCTGATCTGTCTCCCTTCAGCACGTTAACTTGCAAGCTCTCAGTATCATTTCCTGCCCAAGCTAGCTGTTCTCCTGGTTCCTTTCGTACATCATGATTCAGTCTCACAGACTTTCACATTTTCCCAAGGTGCGTGCTCTGTGAATTTCACTAAGACGTTGTTCACTCCTAGATCATCAATGAAAGAGATGAAGCAGGTCAGACTGAGCCCCAGTGGCACCCTCCGGTGCCCCCTTCATCCCTCCCGATTGCCTTTTCTCCTTCCCCTTTGTTTGGGCTTTTACCTGGAAGCAGTGAATTCCACTGACAGCACCCAGATCTCCGCCACTTTGAATAACGTTTCACAGGAAGATTTCAGGAGTGTCTGCTAAACAGTATGCAGACATACTGTATATGACATCTTCACCCTCTTTGCTGCTAATGTAATTCTATCAACATCAATCACATTTACCTTGTGAATGACCCTTTTACCTGTTAGTGTTTATTAAAACTGCCATTGACTTTGCCGTGGTACCAGGGAGCTGAATTAATTTAAAATAATGATAATGAGACTCAGCCTTGTCATCTCGTATGAAAATCAGTAGCATATTTGGCTTTTCCTCCCAGAATCCTGGGGCCTCTCAACTTTATGTGCCTTAGAAGCACCTCAGATGGCTGAACGTTCCCTGATAGTAACCCTCAGGAATGCTGGCAAAGTCGGTGTTTAAGAAACTTGTCAGCAGGCTGGGACTCTGTGAGCAGTGTTTGGACATCTCTTCTGGGCCGTGGTAGCTACATTTTTCCAGGGGTGGAGAGACCTCAGTGCATGTCAGCTAAGCCTGGCTGGTTGCTGCTCGGTCCCATCCCCAGACTCTTTAGATGGGAGACCATAACCCCAGTAATTCCACCCCAGAAGGTCCCACCCAGAGACCTGTTGCTGGAAGTCCTGTAGCAGCAGTAAGGGATTTTGGTCCTTTCACTTCCCCTTTGCCCTTTGGCCTTTGCTTTTGCTTCCCTCCTCTCAGTTGTCCCCTTCCCCCGTGTTCTTCACTTGCTGCCAGGTTGGTGATCTGACAGTCACAGTTGTTGGTAAATTTCAGGCATTTCCTTCCGGAACCAATTATATTTAAAAAGGAGATGCTGGCCGGGCATGGCGGCTCATGCCTGTAATCCCAGCACTTTGAGAGGCCAAGGCGGGAAGATAGCCTGAGGTCAGGAGTTTGAGACCAGCCTGGCCCATTTCTACTAAAAAAAAAAAAAAATGCAAAAATTAGATGGGTGTGGTGGTGAGCACCTGTATCCCAGCTACTCAGGAGGCTGAGGTAGGAGAATCGCTTGAACCTGGGAGGTGGAGATTACAGTGAGCCAAAATTGTGCCATTGCACTCCAGCCGGGGTAACAGAGCAAGACTCCATCTAAAAAAAAAAAAGAAGGAGATGCCAGCCAGGGAAGGGGGCCAGACCTAATGAGACCTAATGCTAAGGAAGAGTTCCAATCCGCAGGTGGGATTTCAGGCTTCTGTGAGGGTGGCATTCATGCCCTGTGCCCTTCCTGGGTCCCTGGTACTGATGCATCATTGGGTTACGGCTATGAGCACATTTCCCATGAGGACAGAGTCTCCTGGCACCTTTCTAGCACCCGATGGGAAGGCATCATGATCCCATGGCCAACGTATCCCCCTTCTGCATCAGCTTCATATCCCACTCGTCCATGAAGAGGCCAACCTTTTTCCTTCCTACCTACTGGATCTCTATGTGAAGGCATTTCCTAGAGACCAGGAAAGAGACAATCTTTTCTTCACGATCGTTCGGGCTGTGCTACACAGGCTGTACCTCTCAGGCTTAGGAGAGCATTACTGGGTGTTCCAGGGTCTTTGTATTGGCATAGACCTCTTGTCAGGGCTAAAAGCTAACAGGGCAGGTTAGCTTGACCCATGAAACCAACCAGTGGTACCACTGGTCGAGGAGTCCTACTGAGAAGGAACTGGCTTCTAACATAGGCCGAGATCTGGAATCCTGGACCTGCATGTGCTCGCTGAGCTCAGATGCTCAGTTTTTGGGGAGCCCTTTTGTAAAGAAATATATTCCACATTGCATAGGGCTTCAGGCCAGGTATGTTTAAACCTTGCCAGTAGAACTGACCATCTGTTTGGTCTTGATGACAGCTTGCCTACCACTTTCTTTTCCTCTTGCAACCTCAGGAAGCAGGCACAGCAGCCACTTTTAGGCTTATGTTAGAGGTGACATTCAGAGAGGCAAAGTGACTTTCTCAAGAGCAGCCAAAGGAGGGACTTTTGAGCCCAAAGTTCTTGGAAATTTAGGGCCTCTACCCTCATTGGATGATATATTCAGGATGACTAGCATGCCGTGTGCAGGAGGTGGTGGGGGTTCCTCTAAGGGAGTACACGGATGCAGTGAGGGCTTTGTAAAATCCACATGAGGAAAACTCCATGCTTATGGATTTTACATCATACCGTAACAGCTTTGACCTGGGACTGTTTTAAAGTCTTAAAGTATGAATAAAAATGAGGACATAGCTTTATCAATAAACTATGTTGGGATCCCAACCGTGTGAACGCTTGCAAAGTGAGTTTCACAAAATGGGTGCTTTTGAGCCCAGACACAGGGACGCCTGAAAGAGGGAAGTCGAGATAAAGGAGTCAGGAACAGACAGAGGAAAATCTAGTTAAAAGATAACCAGAGGGGCGAAACCAGTTGGCGGTGCAGACACGAGGAACAATGTTTCTTGCTATGTAAACATATTTTTGAGCACCAAAGATATTATTATCTTCTATAGCCACTTACTGCTTAGCTGTCAATTTATCGTGTGGAACTTGTGATCTAGATA